ATAGAGGTGGAAAAAGTCAGAAGTCAGAAGATTATCTGGAAATGACCAAAAGATTCACAGACTTACTTGACTTAAATGATTATCAAATGTATATTTTGGTTAGAGTGATAAATATTAATTACTTTGTTTCTGTGTTAGCTTGGTGACCTAAGTCGAAGGCGCTCGACTATGATGATAGTCGAAGGCACACAAACTGGGAGAGACAGAAGAATAACCAAGAGAAGACAAATATATGGCATTTTGCTAACCAAATTTAGCATTGTACTTTTCATTCCTTTAGAACACGCAAACATGAAAGATTGTATTCTCTGTTTCATATCGTAGTCTTTTGATATAACTTCAAATTATCAGACCGACCATCTGACCCGTGCACTCTACACTAGTTAACATTAACATTAGCTAATTCCGATAACATTATAATATTATATACCCGATGACACCGAATACCAACCAACTTGGTTTTAGGAAAAATGAACCTAAAGTTGCCCATTTTACAACGAAAGAAAAAAATAAGGCTTGCCTCACTGCAGGGATACTCTGTTATTTTTTCAACAATTGACGGAATTGTCGTCATCATCGACGACGATTGCTCATCAATTTCTTTGCTTACAATCAGATATCCAATCCAAATTTTATGTGAACCCAATATTTTTCTCCCATGCCTCCAATCGCCGCCCGTGACGTCGCCGTCATCGGTGCCGGAGCAGCTGGGCTAGTAGCTGCCCGCCACCTCCGGCGCGAGGGTCACTCCGTCGTCGTTTTCGAGAGAGAATCCCAAGTCGGAGGCACCTGGATATACACCAACAAAACCGAACCCGATCCGATCGGCGTCGACCCAAATCGTCCTGTAGTCCATTCAAGTCTCTACGCGTCTCTCCGGACTAACTTACCCCGAGAAGCAATGAGCTTGAGAGAGTACCCGTTTGTAGCAAAGAAAACGGGTCACAGAGATCCGAGGAGATTCCCAGGTCACAGAGAAGTGTTGGAGTATTTAAAGGATTACGCCACCGAGTTTGCAATCGGCGAGTTAGTTCGATTTGACACGGAGGTGAGTCGGGTCAGGCAAGGAGAAAATGGGAAGTGGGAAGTGAGATCAATAAAGCGAAAAGAAGAAGAACATCATCTCGATGAAGCTTTTGATGCTGTCGTTGTTTGTACAGGACATTATACAGATCCCCGAATCGCACAGATTCCAGGTATCCATTCTTCTTCTCTCGATTCAATACCCTTTTCGTTAGTTCAAAGTTCATGATCATCAAACTGAAACTATATACCCCCAAATTCTCAATAAAATTGAAATCGCAAGAATATTAAGTGACATCTTGTTCTTCATAGGCGCCGATCGGTGGCCGGGGAAACAGATTCATAGCCACAATTACCGTACACCGGAGCCCTTCCGAGATCAGGTATCATCGTTATTGCATCTCTCAGCGTTTTCAAACACGGATTTTGAGCAAATGAGTAATGGGTTTGACAGGTTGTGGTGATAATAGGGAGCTCTGCAAGTGCTGTTGATATATCTAGAGAGATTGCAAGTGTTGCTAAGGAAGTCCATATTGCATCTTGGTCGACCTCTAATGAAGAAGATCAATCTCTACCTGGATACACCAACATTTGGCTACGTCCTATGGTATTGATTAATGGAAAAACTCTGATTTCTTTATTCTGCATTAAGTTAAAAAGAAACATCCTTATAATGTTAATGTAGGTAGAGATCGCTAATGAAGATGGTAGTATCTCATTTCAACATGGATTCAAGATCTCTGCTGACATTATTCTACATTGCACAGGGTAAAAGAAAGATTCTTGTATCTTTGGTCTTTTTCTTTCTGAACTAAAAAAATAAAAATAAATAAACACTCATATATATAGTTTACCTGATCTTCAGGTACAAGTATAGTTTCCCATTTCTTGATACCAAAGGTATCGTGACAGTTGATGACAATCGGGTGGGCCCACTTTATAAGCACGTCTTCCCTCCATCATTAGCCCCTTGGCTTTCTTTCGTTGGATTGCCCTGGAAGGTTAATATCGTCATTTCAACATATCCATCATCTTTCGATCTCTTAACAACTAAAAACTTTCTTGTTAATCGAATTTACAGATCGCTCCTTTCCCCCAATTTGAATTCCAAAGCGAATGGATTGCTAGCATATTATCAGGGAGAATTTCTCTGCCTTCACCAGATGAAATGATGAAAGATGTCGAAGCATTTTATGCATCATTGCAAGCATCTTGTGTGCCAAAAAGATATACGCATAATATGACTGGCTATCAGGTACGTAATTTTGACTTTTTGAGTCAAACTTAAAGATTTTGCTCCTATGCTATTTTTGCTGTACAGAATGATGTGGGTATTGACTATTGAGTCAACTTATCAAGTATCAATCGAAATTGGTGAAGTTGACTTTTTAAAAGTCAAAACTGTACCATTTGATAACATATGGGGTTATGGGTGTTACTTCTCTTTTTTGATAGTTTGAGTATAATGACTGGATTGCCACTCAATGTGGGTCCCCAAAAACGGAAGAATGGAGAAAGAAAATGTATTCTGCAGCTTCTTTGGGTAGAAAAGAAAGACCAGAGACTTATCGTGATGAATGGGAAGATGATGATTTGGTTTTGCAAGCTTATCAAGATTTTACGAAGCAAATCTCTTGTAAAGGGGAGACTTATTAACAAGGGAAGGTCAAATATGTAATTTTATGTTGTTCTCTTTGAAAGGTGTTATTTGCTAAACCCTTTTTTTTTTTTTTTTTTTTTTGCTTAGAACATGGCTACAAAATAATGAATTTGTTTAGGTAATTATATCAATAAAAGATTAAAAATGTTTATGGCTACTAAAAAATAATTTTTAGTACGTATATATAAAAATCTTATAGGAGTTGGTTTAACACTATCACATCATTTAGCATTTCATTTGTTATTACTAAGCTTACTTCTGAACAGATTTGTGATTTGATCATCGTAAAAAATATCAATAGAAAACAAATGGTGGCCGAGTATTCATTTAAGCTATTTATTGAATTCAAAAGATATTAAGATGATCCAAGAAGGAATTGCAATTGGAATTGGAAAATGCATCCGACTCTAATTTGAATCTAATTCCATATACTAATAGGAAATGTAATTAAAATTAATTCCAGATTTGTTTAGTTTGTACGAAATGAAATTGAAATCTATGTAAAATGACAGTTTTTTTATCTGAATTGTTTAATTTTCTTTTATATTGCAACTTATATGTAAAGATGCATCATATAAATTATAAAAATAGTAAATTCTCGGCAATGGCGGCGGCGGTGGTAGCGGTAGCGGTAGTGGTGGTGGTGGTGGTGGTGGTGATGCTAGGTGATGGTGGTGGCAGTGATAGTGGTGGAGGGTGATGGTTGTGGTAGTGGTAGTGGCGGCTGCAGTGGTGGTGGTGGTGGTGGCGACGACGGTGGCAATGGCGGTGGAGGTGGTGGTAGTGGTTCTAGGTGATGGTAATTATGGTGGTGGTGGCGGCGGTGGTAATGGTGGCAGTGGAGGTGGTGGTGGGTGATGGTAGCGGTGGCGGCGGCTGCGGTAGTGGTGGTAGTGGCTGTAACGGTGGTGGCAGCAACGGTGGAGGTGGTGATGGCGGCGGCGACTGCGGCGGGTGTGGCGGTGGCGGTAGTGGTATTGGTACTTGTATATTAAGATCTAGAAAGAAAGGTTGGTCACAGAAGAATGTGACACGTTGGAATTTAAAAATATATTAGTCACTTTATAAACCAATGTATGCCACTTATTGTCAGGAAAGGAAATTGCATACCTGTGTGAATGTTGTAGTTGAAGGTTTGATAATGGTAATATCCAGTTGAATCTTGGATCATGTGCATCATTTCACGCTACTCCTGATGTATAATTTTAAGAACTTTAGTGGAAAAGTTCATCTAATAGTTGATATCATGGGATTTAAGGATGCTTTCGTTAAAACATATCTTTGTATCAACCGAACGTTGAAGAATGTAAAAAAATATATTCCAAGATGCTAATCTTAGTGAATAAGTCATCGTTTTGACTTTGGAGATCACTAGTGGAAGCCGATAAGAGGAAACTTAGTTGTTGCTCATTGTCATAAATGAAAAATCTTGTATATGGTCAAAGTATCTTTGCAAACTGAGTGTAGATTGAACTTATACAATTATTGGGGATGTGATTATGCCTACTCCATAACACCAAAGACTTAGGAATATAAGTGAAAAATATATGAATTAACTTCAAAATGCATGATTTTGGGACTAAAAAAATGTGTATTCGACAAATAAAATTGTTGCTTTTGCAAAACTGTGTACGTCACTCAAGGTTAGAAATTTAGAGTTGGTTCATATTAATGTACATGACCCTACATTAGTTTCACGGATAAGGAGATTGTGGTACATTTACATTACTTCTATTTATTATTCTACGAGCAAGGTATGTGTTTAGTTTTTGAAAAATAAAATAGATACTCACTACCTTTAAGAAGTGGAAAATTGTTAGAAATAAGACTTAAACATTGCGTGTTTGAAGTATGAGAATGGAGGTGAATACCACACAAAAATTGTTGATTATAGTGTTAAAAATGTGATGAAGATATTGCTAAAAGTCCTGTAAACACCTCAACAGAATGAAATCATATAAAAATTATACATGACATTTAATGAAAAGGATAAAAATAGGGAAAATGATATATCAACTATTTTGTTGGTTTCCTTATTTTTAAAACATTTAATTAGGAATGACATGTCGTATTACGTTAGCATCTATGGGTAGGGATGCAAACAACCACATCTTCCCTATTGCATGGAGTGTGGTGGCAATTAAAAATAAGGAAACATGAAAGTGGTTTCTTGACCTCCTACCGGATGGCTTGAAATGGGACTCGGTTAAGGATTGACCCTCGTATTAGACCAACACAATGTATATTTTCTGTTATGTTTTGTTTGAGTTGAATGTTTTTGTTGTGTCATCTATTTCATGTTTTCTTTCAGGGATTAGTAGAGGCTATCAAAGAAAGGGTTCTAGTAGCAGAGCATAGACAATGTGCTAGACACATATATGCTAACTTCTAGAAAAGATTCAAAGATGAACAATATAGGAAGTTGTTTTGGGCTGCTGCTATACTACTCAACCTAAATTTGAGGCAGAAATGAATTCCATAAAAAAAAATTGACCATTTGTCTTATGAACACCTCATGGAAAGGGACCTTAAAAGTTGGTGCATGGCATTCTTTGAAGTGGACTGGGCTTATGATGCTTATGAGAATGACATGTCAGAAAGTTTCAACTATGTTATCGATCTTGCTAGGAAGAGACCACTCCTCGCCATGTTGGAAGAGATTCAGATTTATGCAATGGAGAGGGCGTATAAAATGTTGCTAGAGGGACAAAGTTGGGATAATTTAAAAACATGCCCATCTATAAGATTAAAGACATCTAAGTTAAAGAAACATCAAAAGTATGATATAACTTTTATTTTATAAGTATTATTATCTCATCTATACGATTAATAGAACTTGTTATTTTTATAGATAGATTTTGGGGAGTTATACCTTCTGGGATACAAAAATATGAGGTTAGGATTGGAAATTATGGATATGCTATGAACCTTACCAACAACACATGTGGATGTAGATCTTGGCAAGTATCAGGTATCCCATGTGTGCATGCAATGACAACCATTTCAAACCTCAAAAAAATGCAGAGGATTATGTTGCACCAGGGTTCCATACAACCATGTTCTTGACTTGTTACAACCATATCATTAATCCACTTAATGGTAGTTCCATGTGGCCTGAAGTTTCTTACATGAAGCCATTGCCTCCCCAAAAAGAAGGTTACTAGGAAGGCCAAACCTTAAAATGAAAAAGGGATCAATCTGAGAGGGAAAGCAAGGGAAAACAAGGCATACTATTTCAAAAGCAGGTGCAATTATGAGATGCACCATTTGTAGAGAAAGGGGCCACAATAGGTCAACATCTCCTAGAAGACTAGAAGATGTAGCATCCACTTCAAGGACAAAAAAGAAGAAAGCTAAAAAATGTAAAAAAAATAAATAAATAAATGAATAAAAAGAAGAGAAAGGTATGCTATTAAAACAATGTAATTATATTGCAACATCCAACTCATTGCCTACACCTTTGTATAACAGGGTACTGTGGAACCAATTCAAGTAGATCCAGTTCAAGTAGATCTAATTCAAGTGGATGATCCTGCACAACCTGTTGATGATGTTCAAGTAGATAATCATGTTAATGATGCCCCTGCTCAACCTGTTGCAACTAGGAAGAAGATACGAAAATACTCAGAAAGAATTACCAATGTAGGGTTGAGGAGGAAGGTTTTGAAGAAAGAATGAAGCAATGATCACCACCTGTTGTGATATGTTGGAGAATGGATGGGTCGAGATTGCCGATGAATCCTGCTGAAACGACTTTCCCTGATATCACAGTACAGAACAAAATAGAGATCGTTAGTCGACATCCGGGAGGGGGTCCCGGGACAAAGCTGCAATCATCTAGTTAGTATAAGATCTGAGAGAGATGGTAAATGATTACAGGAAAGAGGGAATTTTGTCCACTTCTTCGTGAGGAAGAAGATACCTGTCTCTAGGGTGTGTCTCTTAACTGATTTTGTTGAGGATTTTCTCGTGAGGTTCGACGTGGCATACCCATATTGGAGGGTCCACCGTCACATCTTTTAATCATTCTCTCATTAGCTGAAATGAGATATTCCAAATGTTTACGAAGATCGTGGTTATCATCTGATGAGCGAGTGTGTAACGCCCGTAGATCAGGGCTAGTCAATTTAGAGACGTTAAGCGTCAAAAATGACTTTTTGATGGAAGATTATTTTGAAGGAATAATATTAACTAAGTTGTAGTATATGTTACAAGGATTCCGTACATATAATGAGCGCCAAAATCCTAGTTATAACGAAGAAGTTATGACCTGTCGAAGTTTTGCGACAAAACCGACACGACGCTGAATGACGTAAAAAGTGAATTTACGTTAGAGTGATATTTAGCCTTAGCGATCTAAACAAAAGTCATAGAGTTCGTTAAACCATGAGTGTGCATAAAAAGAACGTCCAAATCTGACTTTGTATGAGGAAGTTATGATTTTTCCAAGTTTCGACTTAGCAGTATGCAACCCGAATACTCGATTTGAGATCGAGCGGTTTTTATCCGAAACAATCTAAACGAGAATCGAAGATCTTGTTGATAGTAGTGCAACGGTAAAAACACAGACAAAAACGGACGTCAGATGAAGAAGTTATGCAAAGATCTTTCTCTCAACAATGCTTCTCGAGGCTTATAACGGAGTTTTTTTTGTCCCGACCTACTAAAATAATATAATAAAAATAAAGTCAAAATTAGCTGATGGAGTCTAAACAAAAGTTGTTGATCGTAGTCTCACCTACGCGGGGATATAAAGAACGTTGAAAACGGAGCTCGTATGATGAAGATATAAAATTTTGAAGTTTATTAAATAATTAAAGTATTTAATTTAAATATAAAGTCGGATATTATCCAAATGGGTGGAGTCACCGGGCTTATCCGGGTTACGCCCAACGTACCTAAATTTACGCCCAGCGTAATTCGAAGAATCAGCCCCTATATAAAGGGTGTGAGGGCAACCGAGTTCCTTGCTCAATTCCTCTATTCTCTCTCCCGTTTTACCTAGTTTTCGTGCAAGAAATATCTCGAAGTCCCGGTATTAATCCTGAGCCTCAAAGCAAGTCTCGAAGCCCCGAAGATCCCGAGAAGTAAAATTTCTGAGTCGATGCTCTGCCAGCGAGGAGCCTGGTTTTTGTGAAGATCTTCCAGATCTACCGAAGAATACTACTTTTACAAGTCGTAGTGTTGTCCGATCATCTTCTGATCAAGTGAGTGTGTGGTTACTTTCTTCTAACACATAAATATGAAGTATTTGCTTTGAAATGTGTGTTATGTGTTTATATACTATTGTTTATTTGAGATAAGCGTGGAATGGATGTTTTATATGGTTTTTAAATGAGTTAAAGCGTATATGTATTTTATATCTACTATTATGTTGGGTAGAACATGCGTAGATGAGATAGTTGGTATGTGATAAAATGATGAGGTAAATGACGAGGTATGTAAGATTCTTAAAGAATAATATTGGTAGATGCACCAAGTAGATAATGTCATAATACTAGCAGATGTGCTTGAGAATAATATTGGTAGATGCACCACATAGAGAATGTCATAATACTAGCAGATGCACTTATAGGATAATCCTAGCAGATGCGCTTATAGGATAATGTTGGCAGATGCACCCAAAAGAGAATGTCATAAACCTGGCAGTCGCGCCTCATAGTGTATGACGTAATCCTAGCAGAGGCGCTTAAAGGATGATGTTAGTAGATGCGCCTTATGTAGCAATAGATTTTGTGCCAATTCCTTAGGTCAATCCTTAGGAATGAATGAATGGCGGGTAGTTGAATTCTGAGGGTAAAATCTTAAGAAATAAAGAAGATAATGGGGATGGTTAATTGGGTTGATTGTTTGATGGTTGAATATAATAATTATATTATTGTGGGTTGAAAACCCTATATGCTCACCAGGCTCCCAAGCCTGATCCACTCAGTTTTCTTTGCATTACAGGTAATGGCACAAGAGTATAAGTTGGTGGACTTGACGATAGATTTTGGATTATAGATCAATAGTTATAAATTACTGTTGTAAGGTCTATTTTTACTGTTTATGCTTTTGGTCTGTATCGTAACATGACGTCCCGAGCTGTTGTTATTTAACGAAAATACATTTCTTTAAAGAAATGTTTCGATAAATTCTTATCACGTTTTGTTTTGGGAACAAATTCCACAACTGTTTTCTTTAAAAGATTACTCCGATTTTAAAAACAAGCATAAACAAATCGGTCTTTTCTGGCCGTGAAATTGGGGATGTCACAGTTGGTATCAGAGCATTAGTTTAAGCGAACTAGGGATTTGTAGGATTTCTATACTTAAACTTAGAATGCTAAGTAATGACCGTGAGGAGTGTGTCTAAAATATGTTAGGTAGTACACCTAAATTGACACAAGCACTTGTATATTTTAGGAATGATGCCTAAAATGCTTTTATGTGCTAAATGTTACGTGTTTGCCATATATGATATTATTTGTTCGGATCTATGGTTTGTTGCCGATCAGATCTGGAAACCTTATCTTCTATGTGTATGATTATGATAGTCGAACTAGTATGTAAACGTTTCGGAGTGATAAGGATGATTAAATATCTACCATGAATGAGGATCTAAATTCACCTTATTCGGTGTATAGATCAAAAAATGGCAAGAACCAGAAGTGGAGCTGGAAACGCAAATGAAAACAGGAATCAACCACCTGTGATTGAGCGAGTGGTTGTTGTAGCAGCAGCACCAGAGCCAATAACAATGGCCGGTGGACAAATGATGATTCAAACAATGTTGGATCTTCATATGGAAGAAACGAGACGTCTGTTAGGCAGAATCATGAAGAACTGTCAATTCAAGTGGAAGAGCCCGAAGTAAATGGAGGGCATTCAGAGGGAGGTAACTTCAGTAGGACTATTGGTCAAGCCAATCCACCATTAGTTAGACAAAACCATCAGGAGGGAGGAATTGATGGACTTGGATGCAAGTACAAAGACTTTTTGACTTGCAAACCACCGACCTTCACTGGGAAGGAGGATCCGATTGGAGTCATGGATTTGATTTAGGAAATGGAATTAGACTTTATGACATGTGGTTGCAAGGGCAAGTTACAAACCATATTTGCAGTGCGTCAGTTCAGAGGTGGCGTTGTTCGCTGGTGGAACACTCTGGGGAAGACCCTAAGCCCTAATGAGCCACTGCAACGGTCTTGGGCAGAGTTCTTGGTGCAATTCAAGCGCAAGTTTTGCTCAGCCCAAAACCTGCTAAAGTTGGAGAGCAAATTTATGATATTGAAGAAAGACAGCATGTCAGTGGATGAATACACTAATGCCTTCACAGACAAGATGGAGTTTTCTTTTCACATCGTCCCAGATGAGCTGACAAAAGTCGACCGGTACGCAAAGGGAGTCCCATAGGAGTATATGGTGCCAGTGCGTCAGGTACCTACTCTAGAGGCAACTATTTGGGCTGCCAAGTCTGTTGAGAATATGATCAAGGGGAGGACCGCCAGAAAGGTTGAAGTTGACAAGAAGAGAAAGTTAGAAGGAACTTCAGGTTCTAATGAGAAAAGAAAATTCTCGAAGTCTGGAGGAAGAGGAAGAGATGAAGCAAGGTGGTGCGATAAGTGCAAGAAGAAGCACTCGGGAAAATGGGGTGCGGGGGTGACATGTTTCAAGTGTGGAAAGCATGGGCACTACGCTGATGAATGTATATTCAACAAAAAGGTGTGTTACGAATGTAACGAAGAGGGGTACTTCAAGCAAGACTGCCCAAGGAAAAATCAAGCAGCAAGGCTAGAGGAACCGCCAAAGCCAAAGGCAAGAGCATTTCAAACGATCCTTGATGAAAAAGATGGCAATGCAAGGAATCAGGAATAAGGATTTTATATCTAACGATCAAGTTGTAAAGTAGCGATGTGAATAGTAACATGTGGTGTAGCCTATTAGAGGCATAGTATAGGGTGAACTTGAACTTTTGTGTAATAGTTTCAAGGAAATAATATAAACCCTAGTTTTGTTATCTGGTGTGTTGAATGATTGTATGATTTTTCTTGTATGGTGACTTGGTCGACTGCGGGACAATACTTGGGACGAGTATGAGTAGGTGTAAAAGGTAGTAGATGCATATACTACCGGAAGCACATAACTCACACTTGGATCAGAGAAAGTTACAAGGTTACCAAGAA